TTCTTGGGTATTTAATTTTTTATTAAGGGAGGGAAAATTTAATGAATCTTTTAACGTGTCAGCATATGACTTGGGTTTACTGTTTGCGATTTTCTTTTGTCTTATAGGGCACTGGCTAGAGATGGCAATGTGATTGCCATTACAATTAATGTTAAGCTTTTTCAATGTTAACCTTGCATTCTCTGAAAGAATACCCCTCTGTGCATATGGAGCATCGCGGTGAAGTTTTACAAAACTTTGCAAATTATAGTATAAAACTATTTAAAATAATTAAAAGAAGATTGTCCACTTAGTATGGGGACTTTGGCCTGACGTGAACAGACATTTTATCATATTTTTTGTAATTAGTTTAAAAGCACTAACTAGTAATAATGAGAATATGAACTTAATTTTGTATCAAAATGTTTAAAAAGAGATTTTTGTCATGTGAGGAAAAACAGGTTAAAGCAAAATAAAACAACATTTATGATTTATTTTTAATCTGAGACATCATATGTTATTAATATGTGTTCAAGAAATTGGACAGGTGGTGAAATGTGTTCCTGATACCTTGCCCAACTTAAAAACCATAAAATAGTCATTATATGAGCGCAACAACCCACTGTCCTTCGACCAACCATACAATTACAATAATATTCTTTTATAGCTTCCTTACCATTGTGATTATAAGTATTCTTTATTGTACACCAAAAGAATAAATAAGTTATACAGTAAATTATAAAACTTGATCAAAATGTACAATTGGCGGCCTTATCGCTAAGCAGCGATCTCTGCCAGGCAACCATGTTACGTAGGACACAGTAAACAGTAATTAAATATTTCAGGTGTACATATATAAGAGAAAAATATACTTAAACGAAATTATATACATATATATATATAGTAAACATATATATATACTACATTCAATATACAATAATCTATATATATAATTTATACAACAGTTTAAATATGACTATAAGTAACATACAATAATAAATTTAAAATATAAGCCAGATACATCGCAGAGTAGGAATTTATAATAAATAGTAAAATAAAAATCATAAATATTAAGGAAACAGGTAGACAAAATTTAAGGGGGGAAGAAGTTTGCTTTTAACAACCTTTTAAATATTGCTAGGGATTGAGCACGCCGTATGGTAAGTGGTAAGGAATTCCAGAGCCGTACAGCTTCCACAGAAAAGGATTTAGAATAGAAGGATGTATTGTGGGAGGGGATTTTTAAAATCAAGTTATCGTCAGAGCGAAGAGAGCGACAATGAGAATCACTCAGGAATTCAAAGCGCTTTTTAAGGTATGAGGGAGAGGTAGGATTAAATAGGATATTGTATAATAGGGAAAGAATGTGAGTATTCCTGCGAAGGCGGATTGAGGGCCACTTGAGTTTTTCGCGAAATTCTGAAACATGGTCATATTTACGAAGTCCAAATATGAACCGTATACAAAGATTCTGGATGCGTTCAAGTTTATTAAGCAATTCCTCACTTAAATTGAGATAACAGGTATCAGCATAATCGAGAATCGGTAGCAGGAGAGATTGTGCAAGCACAATTTTAGTTGGTATCGGTAGAAAATTTCGCAATCTACGAAGAGACCCGATAGATGCAAACACTTTCCTGCTCACCTCGCTTACTTGGGGGGTCCAGGTCAGAAATCTATCGAAAACAACACCTAGATTTTTTACAGTTTCACTGTATGGAACAAGTGTTCCATCAACAATTATATTAGGCAAATTGGGCCAATCAATGCGCGAAACTAGTTTTTGACTGCCGATTATAATTGCTTGTGTCTTTAAAGGATTTACTTTAAGTCCATGTGATTTACTCCAAAGTACAATAGATTCAAGGTCTTTATTTAATGTTTGAATTGTTTTAGGCAAATCAATTAATTTTGAATGTTTATATGATTATTATCATATAATATATACAGGGTGACTGGTGAATTACTATCAATATTTAAGGAGCATACTCGGTACATGATTCTCATTCGAATTATGTAAAAAAAATAGGTACGAATTATGTAAAAATATTGGTACGGAACGGAATGAAATGCAATAAAAATTAATAATTGCACATGGTAGTAACAACAACAACCACCAGAGTACACGAATACAAAACTGTAAACGGTCTGTATGTAGTGTGTCGATACAAGCTTGTTATACGGATATATCAAGAGTCAATTTAATTTGTTGACCAAGTCTATCATCATTACTTGTTCCCTAGATTTAGCTTAGAATACTTTGACTGAATCCTAAGTTCTCGCGACGTGATTAAAGACATTTTCCATGTTTTATAGGAGGATACATAGTTTAGATAATTTCCAGCCATTTTATTTATTGCGGTTAGAATATTTCCTAATTTTAATAGCCTCGCAGTTTAATCTCTGCATATATCTTTTTCTAGACGTGTGGATTGGTTGTTATATTTGAGACGAAATAATAAAGGGGGTTTTTCTAATGATGGTCGTAGTCCACATTCTTCATGATACATATACCAAATTTGTGCATATTTCTTGTTTCCTTTCTCACGGAGTAGTTTCTACCTGTCTTCTTTAAAACACGATTTGCAACATCAAGACTCCGATAATGACGCATGAAACCACCACATTTTATTACAATGACAAACAAGTCGAGAACAGAGATATAATATTCTACTGATTACATGATAAAATTAAAATTGTAAGTGGTCGCTAAACTTTTCAATCATATTAGTACACAAACTGTTGTCTGTGTTGTAAAGCTTTTCAAATAAAACCTTATAAATAAATTGATTATGAATGGCACTATGCCAAACCAGACTTGAAACACAAAACTTTTACACAAAAAGATCTCTACTGTATTTGAGATCTTAAAAAGCAGATATAAAAAAATATGTAACTTTATAAAATAATAAGACTTAAACATACTAAAATGTTTTATCCTAGTTTATATAGTGTAATTCATAAAAGCAAAATATGTAATTAAAAAAGGAATCCAACAATATTTTTGTAGAACTTAATATGCACTACCTTTACCTGTGACTTTCTCCATATAAAGACGACGTTCTGTTACAAAACGTGTTTACCTAGCTTAAAATATTTGAATGAAAAAAAGTGTTGTTAACCATAACATCACATCTTTATATAGAATATATGTATTGTATTTATCGTTTTCTTTTTTTTTGAATACAACTTACGAAAATTTTTGAATACAACATTTGACAACGCAGTGTTAACTATACGAAACAAACGTTATATATGTGGATACAACCACTTACGGTGAAAATAAATGTTACATAGGATATAATAGTAGTTTCTTGATTTTGATAATATTTAATATTAGTGCCCTCTTGTGGCGAGTGGTGGTACTACTACGACTTGGTCGATTTTGTCGAGTTTAGCTATCCGCTAACAGATGTCGCTGGTAAGTCAATTTCTAGGGAGATGACTAGCAGTTTTTCTATAGTTAACCTAAATAATGTCTATGAATTTTTCACTTGAATTCAGTTCCACACCCACAGAAACGCCCAAAGTATCTTTTACTAACTGTTCTTGTTTTTTGATAGGTTCTTAACGTTTAGCACTGTACTGTATTTTGAGCCATAATATAGGGATTAAATAGAGAGTGTTTATTCTACTTACACTGGAAATATATATCTATCTAATATCTTGTCTAGGAAGTACCCATGAACCACGCTTTTATTTTAGTCTAGTCTGTGCATATGTTTATAATTCCCATGACTGTATCCATTTTATTATTTTTTGGTTTTTAGTACATTTATCTTAAACATTGCAATGTATGTTTCACGTAAAACCGTTTAACTTATAAAGTTTTTTTATCTATTTTTATTTTCTAGTTTTTAGTTTTTATTACGCATTCTGTTTAATTCATTTGTGCTTCATTATTGCAAGGTTTCTTGCCCGTTAGTTTATTGCAGTCCAACTCCTCTAAAAAATTATTATCAGCCATTTGGTAGCGGCGGCCATATTAGATTTCAATTTAGCATAGTAAATTGTATTCTACTTGTTGAGACCTTTCATTTGATACCCATATTGATGGGATTGATAAAACATAAATTATCCGCCATTTTGTAGCGGCGGCCATCTTGAATTTATAATGATAATAAATAAACATAATTGTATTGTCACCAAAATCCAAAGTGTATACAAAATTAGATCTGATTAAATACAAAATTAGAATCAGATTCATCGGTTGACAGGAAGAGGGTGAAATTTGAATTACTAAATTTGACCCAAGAAAAATGAAAAATGAAAAAAGAATAAAAAAAAAGAATAAATAATAAAACAAACAGAGTGAGCTAAATAAAACCATTCAATAAACAAATATTGTAAATCATATTACACATACAAATAAAGCCATGCCATGAACCCGGCACCCGCACGTTTAATCCATGGTATGCTGAGAAGTTTCATCTCTGGTTGCTAATTGTTAGGTAAAGCGATAAAGTCGTATGAGATTAATACCGTCTTGAGAGGAGAGAATCACCCACTTTATGTCTTCCTGTTCCGTTGAACTTACGAGTACGTTCAGAACATACCATCACTACTTATAAATACACGTTTTATTAAAAAAGATTCTGTTTGAATACGATATCAAAAAATACTATTATTGAACAGTTCTACGACCTGACAGTTGACAGCATCTAGTATTGTATAGTATTTTATGAAAAACAGTGGAATCAAATCACAGAGTTTCTTTAATGATTGAATTATAAACTTTACTTATCTAATTAGCGTATTACTAATCAACATTATTATTTTTTTTATAAAATAAAATAAAATGACCAAAAAAACAAAACCCTTTGTGTTCGGTTTTACCCAACTGATGTCGGGTAAAGCCGAACACAAAGTGGGGTAATCACGTACTAACATTACTAACGACATCTATCTCATTTGTAACCCGCCGATGTTGACTGTCCGTCAGTGCAATTCTTGTGAGCCCATTTCTCACACATGTAACACATTATCCAGTCTTCAACAGGGGGCTTTTCCGGCTAGCTGTTTCACACGGTCGAATTTGTGAGGCAGACGGTTCTTCTCTGCATATTGATACGCAATCTGACGAATTTTTTTTTATGGTTAGACCATAATAAAGTACTGCACTTTATGATATAGTCGACCAATTCCTTTTCTTGCTGGTCTGTGAAGAGCAGTCTTCGTCCAGTCCTTGGTAATTTTATAGGTGACTTCTTTAAATAATCATAAATTGTAGTTTTTGGAATACTATAAGTATTTGCTGCTCTGCCAATGCTGAGTTTCTTAGTTTGAACATCGACTATAGCCCTTTTGAGATCCTCTAAGCTGTATTTAGTTTCGGTTTTTCTTTTATAATTACGAGGCATCTGAAACAATTTATTTGATGTTTAGCATCATCAAAATCATCCGACAACATAATTTAGTGCCAAAAGAAATCAACATAGACTGGAAAACACTATACCCTATTTGCCAGTGGGTAGTTGGAAAAAAAATATTAACAGGGAACTAACAAAAAAGGAGAGAGGGGTAATGCCGAACGTTCGAAATTACCCGACATGAAGCGTTCGCCTTTACCCCACCGGGTCGAAAAAAAGAAAAAGGAAAAAATATTGTAGGTTATATAACTTTTACTAAATGCGTTACTGTCATTTGAATGGTTAGTATGTAAATTTTCCACTATGTAAAGGTTAAATAACTATTCTCAATAGAACTGAAGCCACACCAAGTTCAATTTATCAAAAAATTACATCGAAAACATTGAAAATATTAAAATTGACATACCTTGAAAAGTACGTGCGTCTGCGTCTCCCGTGTCGTTGACAGGCACTGGTGGTGGCGTGATCTCTGAGTTACCGGCGAGTGATATACGGCTATATCTTTCTAACACATTAAAACTATTGGGTTCGGGATTACCCCGCGTTCGCGTTTACGCCCCTTTCCCCTAACCACAAACAGTAGCCAATGCATTATACGGTATTATGTTGCATCAGGCATCAACTATATGTAATAATGAACACATTTTCAATTCTGATAATAAACGTTTACATTTATAGATAGATATAATTATTTGATTAATTTGATATTTAACTATTTTTGTTTTCGAGAAATAAAATATCTTTTTCAATAGAACACGGACTTCAGGAACCAACAGCATAATTTTATGAATTTTTAATTAATATTTTTATTACATTTCACATAAATCTTATTATTCAATCTTACTCCAATCCTCAAAAGTATCAATTACACCGGTGGATTGTGGATTATCAAATAATTTTGAAATTCACTTACTCAGATATACCTACACTATACTCAAATGAAAGTATATATAAAATAATCTTTAATTATGAATATTAAGATGAGGCAGTGATCGATAAACCTACATATCGATATAAAAAAACCTCACACAATGTAATTACGTCTTATCCACGAAAATAGTAAAATTAAAAGTCCAAGGGCATGCAGTCAAGTTATAAGAGGAGCGGCCGTCTTGAAACGTGGTAGATAACTACTGGCCAATAAAATAAAGACAAGACAACAAACTGACAATTATATCATAACGTTAATGTGTCTACACTTATTACGTGAAACTAAATATACAATGTATTTAGGGAACACACATTTAATTTGAACCGAACCTTTAAAAGGAGGCTTTATAAAACAACTACATTTTTTCATGATTTTGTTAGAATCCGAAATATATATAACTACTTAAGCTAATTAACTATAGATCTAACACTAAATTATAGTAAATAAATTTCTTACATCTATCGATACTATATTTTACTTTAGCTAGCGGAAGATAGGATATGACTAAAAGTAGGACATTGTGCTTTAAAAATTGTAACCAATAAAATCTTAATAATTTTGGAACATAGAATTGTTGAGATGAAAATTTAAGCTAAACTGTAAAACGTTTTACTCTCTCAGTGTATATAAAAGTGCTAATCAACAGGTGCATTTTAGCGGTGTAGCCACGGGCGCCGCCGCCATGTTCGGAAACGGAAGTTATAAACCATCCGGTGACTTTTGATAAGAGCTCATGTGAAGCTGAGCTGTTAATGTGCGGCCCTTACGTGCATGTAAATATTACGCGCCCTGTACGGTACATACTACATGCTTACACTCTATCGGTGTGTTTGAAGAAGCTTCATACCTATTACACTATATTTAATATCATAAATGGAAACTATAAACTCTGCGACCAAACGTAATAGAAGAGAGTTGGCTAATAAAATTGTTACTACTGGGATGTACACAAAATGAATAATTAAGTGTAAAGCTATAATTATATTATATGTATAAGTACTTTTATTTTTTTAATAAGTACTATTATTTATTCGAAAGTGTTAGCGGCCTGTGACAGAGGATTTTTTAGATTTTTTTTCGTGTTAAGACTCAAATATGTTCTTAAGAATATGTAGATATTAAAAATATAAATTTTCACTTTTTTACGTTCCAATTCATTTAAAGTATCAAGAGTAAGTATTATATATATGACATCTGACATCTTGACAGATGACAAGTGACGGATGTTAAGTTTTATATATTTTCTAATATAGTTTCTAATTTTCTATTATGTATGGTTTATGATGGTTAGAAAAGAGCGCGGGAATTGAAACGTTGACGCGGGCTTTTTGAAAATTTTAATTATTTTAAATAGTTATATAATATAATTTGCAAATTTTTGTTTAGTTTATTGTAACGAAGTAAAACTTAATATGTATATATGTAAGTGTTTATATGGAGAGATGGTGAAAAAACGTAAAAAGAAGGATTCGGGTGAGTCCTTAAATTTCAGCACAAGCAGCGATTGCGAGTATTCGCCAGTATTGCAGGATGCAAATGCCTTCGCTCCCTTTAGGGTCGCTGATTATTGTCGGCGATACTCTGAAGATGCGGAAGCCAAGTCTGAATTCATAGTATTTGTCGAAAGTACTAATGATGTCCCACTCGGTAATAGGGACATGATGTACTAGAACTAGTTTTATACGCTCTGTCAAAGGTATACTATATTTAAAAAAAATAAATAAATATAAGGTCGGTGTTGTTTTATAGCGTGCGAATTTGGCAAATGCCTTTTTAGAAAATACTACATATCTAAAGGAACAACGACTTAAAGCTTCAATACCAGCAGGGGCTACCGAACTATCGGGAGTTATCTCTTCGATTCCCACTCATCTATCCAATCACAAAATATGCAGGTATATAAAGCAATATCAACAACAAAAAAAGTCATTTCTGTCCGACGCATAATGCGTAAAGTAAAAGGAGAAAATAACACCTTCACACTGCAACCTACTCAGAGCGTAGTAATAACTTTTGCGTCTGCTACGTCACTGCCGGACTATGTTCACATTAAGATGTGGCGCCTGTCCGTCTCCACATATGTCCCACCTATAAAACAGTGTTTTAAATGTTTACGCTATGATCATCTGGCTAAGTTTTGTAAAAATTCCCCGCGATGCTCCATATGCACAGAGGGGCATTCTTTCAAAGAATGCAAGGTTAACATTGAAAAAGCTAAGTGCATTAATTGTAATGGCAATCACATTGCCATCTCTAGCCAGTGCCCTATGAGGCAAAAGAAAATCGCAAACAGTAAACCCAAGTCATATGCTGACACGTTAAGAGATTCATTAAATTTTGCCTCCCTTTATAAAAAATTAAATACCCAAGAAGTAATACAAGCAATTCTATCAAATTCTGATACTATGACTATTAACAGAATCTATAGTAAAAGTTATAACTAAATTTAAACTCAAAATATAAGTATTAGTTCACAATTTATTAGCTCAACTATTAAAGAAACCATACAGGATAAAAATAACAAATCGTCACATTCAACCACCAAATCTTAAATAGTGTACAGTGGAACGCTCAGTCTGTTAAGTAACAGACTTGAGTTTAAAAAAAATTTATACAAAAATAATAAACATGTAGCTCTTATTTCAGAAACTTGGCTCAAGCCTAACATTCAATTTAATGTACGTTGTTATACCATTATTAAGAATGACTGCGCTAATGATCATAATGGCGTAGCAATATTAATTAAAAATGGTATACATTTCTCTAAACAAGATACTTTTTATGATGATTCGTTACAAAATGTAGTAATTATTATTAAAGTGAAACATTAATGCATTTCTTTGGTTAGTGTTTACAATTCTGGTAATAGTTTTCCTGCTTTTGAAAGGGCGAAGTTCGATCGTTTATTGTACAGTATTCCAAAACCGTTGATAATTGCAGGTGATTTTAACGCCCATCATACTTTTTGGGGTTGTAGTCGCATAGATTCTCAGGGCAGAGCTATTATGGATTACATGGGTCATATATGACTTAATACTTTTAAATAATGGTCAACCAACAACTATAGGCTCTCATATTTGGAAACCAAACAGTCTAGATTTAACTATGGTGTCTTCTTCTTTATTTCTTTCTTGTGACTGTCAAGTTCATCAGGACCCTTTAGGCAGTTATCATCTGCCAACTATCACAAAATTTACTCTCGTAAGAGATTAACATGAACCCTCTATTCCCTTGAACAACATTCCTTTTCACAGCAATCTGAAATTAGTAAATTGGGATAGTTATGAACAAACTGTTAATAAAATGTTAATGAACTTTAAAGTTGACAATAGTGATCTCCATGACTCATACAGAAAGTTTTGTTCAATTATTCTATTGGCAATCAAATTCTCCAGGCCCAGCTTAAACCATAAAACAACTGATAGTAATAATAACCGTCCTAGAAAAAGGTGCCAAGTACCTTGGTGGAATGATAAATGTTCAAAAGTAGTAGAAGACTGCAAGAACGCCTACATTAATTTCAAAACTAGTCTTAATAGTAAAAATTACATTAATTTCAAACGCACACAAGCCTTTAAAAAACGCACTTTAAAAGAAGAACGTTGTAAAAGTTGGTCTGCATTCTGCTCATCAATAAATCGTTTGACATCTATAAATCGCATTTGGACTAAAGTAAATTCAAAAAAAGCTTTCCGACTTCTAACTTATTTTCTGACCTCAATTGGGTTCAAACATTTTTATATAAATACACACCGGATACTGTTTCACAACAGATAAGTATAGATAATGTTCTTGGAGTAAATAGTGATAATTCATACATGATCAGTTGTTTTATTATGCAAGAGTTAAAATCTGCTTTAGCCTCAAGAAAAGATTCTTCATGTGGCCTGGATTGGCTTTCCTACAGGATGTTTAAACTTTTAAATGTTCAAACTCTACCTATTTTTTTAAGTTTATTAAATAGTTTATGGACGTCTTCTATTGTCCCAGAGGATTGGAAAACTGACTGTTTGGTACCAATATTAAAACCTGGCAAAGACTTTAATTTGGCTGATTCTTA